TCGTGACTAGTCGACTAATCGTGGCAGCCCTACCTGTAACAAAAAGAAAACACATCACAGTTTTATTCTTTGAATTAAAATGCAAAGCAGGACCTTTCTCAGAGGCAGCAGAAACTTATCTTTGGCACCATGTTTCCATGTGTCGCACGCGCCCTCTCTGACAAGCACACATGTGCAGTGGAGAAAGCAGAGAGAGCAGCAACAGAATATGACATTAGTTCATTAAGAGCACGAAGCGAGCAGCTGGGGTGGAGCTGGGCTGCAAACCGGCAGGGGTGCAGCAAATGTGAGCAGGCTAACTAATGCTACGCTCGGTTTCCTATGCTCCAAAACTACAATCACCCACATGAGTGTGTGACCTTTTAAGTGAGCGCACACACTCTGTACACACATGCAGACACGTTGTGTTAGCGCTCAGTCGATCGGTCCTGCTGCGCTGAAGCTCCTGGCAGGACTAAACTCCCTCTGGCCTCTTCACCAGCAGTCTGGTGGACTGTGTGCTAATGCTGTTAGCGACCAACCCTCACTCTCAACTCATTTCCCACTTCCTGAGACCCCCATCAGCTGGCGCTCTGTCCCCTCCTTTACACAAACGACTGGATGGATCCCAAATTAAATCCTTAGTTAAATGTACATGCAGCATCGATACTGTGTGACTGTAAGCGTCCCAGGTGGAAGTCTAAACCAATAAACTGAATATTCGTATCTGAAGTGCTGCAAGTGAAGTGAAAACGTCTGGCAGCCACATGACGTCTGGGGGAGAAGCTCAGCGCTGTTTACTGCAAGTTTACTTCTGGGAACAGAAGAAGATTCATATGATTAAGTGCAATAAACCAGGTTATGATGCAGAAACGTGTCACGTGTGAACCGGCTCATTTAATTGGCCATCTGTGATTACAAGAGCAAAAATAGTGAAATACGATAAACATGTGAGCGTGTTGGTTTTACTGCGTGACAGAGCTCAGACGTGGTTCGCTGCAGGGACAAAAACCTCCTTAGTTATCTGTAGAGAAACGGCGAGGTGGAGGTTAACCTCATCGTGCCGTATAAACCGACTCTGATTCGTTTGGTGTCACAGTGTTGAAACACTGCAACTTATACGGAAAACACGGCCCGCGTTTCAAAAGATGACGAGGTTTTTATGACATCTCCCATAGAAATGTGCAAAGACTAATCTAAAGTTTGCACAGATGTATAAACACTCAAAGAAGAAAAGAAGAAAGAGCCAAAAACAAACGACAGTGTTACCGAGGAAACTCTGTTTTCACTATTTCTGACTTCACTCGTCTAATCAGACACTAACAAATAACAGAAGATAAGTTACAGCTCGTTGAGTAGCAGACACAGACGTACAGAAATGATTTTTAAAGCTGCATCAATGTTTATGTGAAAATAACACACGCAGAAGATAAACGCTCTTCACAGATGACAGCTGCAGCTGATCGGAACAAATGGGAAGAAGAAGAAAAATCCAGCGATTCCTGACGTCCTCCTTATCAAAGAGAGTAAGTAACATGGTGGAGTCTGTAAGATAAAACCTCTTACATCACACTAATGTTACAGACATGCTCCACTCATCTGTTTGAAAAGTTTACATTTTTCTGCTCACTTGAACACGTTTCCTCCTCAGCTTATTTGTCGCACACCTGCAGGCGCCTGCTTGCAAACACAGATCCTAAATATTCTGCAGGTCAGCGTGCATCATCAGGCCGGAGTGCGGTTCGCCATGATTTATTCCTGACAGAAACGAGAACCACCTCGTCACCTTTATCCACTCTGCACTCATCCACCACTCTGAATCCTCAGCTCAAAACCAAAGAGGCTGCAATCTTGACAGTAACTGAGCCCGCAGGCATATCTTGAGCTGAAGTGAGATTCATGCACCGTAGCTCTTTCTTATATACCAACAGCAGGTGAAAGCCGAGAGTGAAAGACGGCTGAACATCTCAGAGTGTACGGGGCTCGGATACCGAGAGCTCTTTCCATCTGTGAGGTTCTTTAAGGGTCTTCGACAGGTCACGCTCCTCTATTTAAGCTCCGCCGAGCAGAGGCAGACTCCAGATCCCAACCCCCGCTCTCATAATAAATTGAGGTGCCTTTTAAAGGTGAAGCTGGAGGATCGTGCTAACAAACTGACTGACAGATAATTGGATAAAAGCTGTTTTTCTATCAAGGGAAGCCGTTC